GTGAAAAATTACAATTGGTTGGATATTTTCTAAAAATGGTCCTATTTGAATAAAATTATCGTGGGTATAATCAACTATTAATTGTATACTTATTAGTTATGCCCAAATGAAGTTTCTATTTTATTATACCTTTTTTCATGATTATTCTGATGGATAAGCTTATTGTTTGCAAATGGAGCAAAAGATAATCTTCAAAATCATGGCTTCATCATTGAATTTTATAAATAATGAACGAAGATATGGTGTAACAATAAAAAAACACTTTATGAGTTTTGTAAATTTTCCATAGTTATCATTTATACAATATCGTTAATTTCAATTCTAAAATATGCAACTAATCCTAGGTCCTATCCTTTATACAGTTTATACAGCTGACATCCCAACCCATTCCAACACTGTCATCACCACATATGCCGATGACACATGTATCCTATCAGTCAATAACGATCCATCTATTGCATCCCAAACTCTTCAATCACACATCACAAGTCTTGAAAGATGGTGTCAAAACTGGAGGATTAAAATAAACTCCAATAAATCCCATCAAATTACCTTTACTCTTCGTCGTAAACCTATGACTTCCTGTCCTACAATATCCTTTAACAAAACTCCACTTATCCCTGTTGACCAAATCCGATACCTAGGACTCCACCTTGACAAACGACTCACTTGGAACCCCCATACCAGACTGAAACGACTAGAAACTGCCCGACGTTTCCGACTACTCCAGCACTTACTAGACAAACGCTCTAAACTGCCAACTATTTACAAAAGACTCATATATATTACTATAATAAGGCCTATTTGGACTTTCGGGATCGAGCTTTGGGGCTCTACTAAACCATCGAATTCCTCTCGTATCCAATCCCTACAATCCAAAATCCTTCGTAAAATCCTTAATTCTCCCTACTTTGTCACAAATAAAATCATCCATAATGACCTTAATGTACCATATGTTTCCGATTTAGCTCAATCCAGATACCTGTCCTTTCATAATAAACTTCTGAACCATCCGAACCCTCTCATTTCCAACCTTGCTTCCTCTTCTATTCATGATTACCCTCCGAGGCGTCTAAAAAGAAGATGGCCTCGGGACCTTCTAACATAGAAATATAGTTGGAGTGCTACCAATGGGTAGTTTCTCCTCATGTTGTACATGTCATATTACTTGCTCATATTTACTTGTTGTATTTCTTATTAATTACAGTTGTAAATTTCGTTAATAAAAAAAAAATATGCAACTAAAATTAGAGGCCTTTATATTTATTAAAGGTACAAAAAAGTAATTAATAGCATCAGGTATCATGATATCGTCTATGAATATGTACAAGATAAGTGTAAACTTCAAGACCCTTCTGTCTTAGAGAAATTGCGAAAATCCAGTTATAAATAAATAATGTGAAGATGAAAGCGATAGGGGCATATTTTTTATAGTTTTAGCAATATGATTTTTCAATTTATTAATTATGTAAATACCTAATTAATAAATAAATTTTCCCAAACTGTAAGTTTTTGTTTCCTTTTCCAGATTTTTATTTTTATTTCGGAGAAGACAATAATGTATTTTGACAATTCATTTTTAATTGTGTGCAAAATATTTTATAAATTGTAATTGTATTTTGTGCGATAAGTATACATAATTTCGAACTAAAAATATGTAATTTATTCATTTACATTCACTTTTGTCCCGCTAGATTATACATCACACTGTGCGCTTGGAACAGCTAGTTTATATGTTAAAGTTCAGATAATTGGAAAAAACAAATTTATTTAAACAAAAAAAAAATCTATTTATGTAGATACTATTCAAGAATTTCTCTTGATAAATAAAAACACCAATAAAAAATCTGATAGAAAAGTATACGTCGAAAATGCGAGATAGAAACATCCGTATGATGAGGAAATGCTTGCTCTCTGGCCATCTTATAAACACTTTACGATTGTTTGTTTTTGTCCGTTGAAAGTTTAATTGGGCAATGATAGAAACCGATACCAGTCCTGTGAGTTGTGGCATCAAAGACAGCTGTTATTGGCTACTGCAATCATTTTCTTTTTATTTATCGTTGGTTGCTGTAAGGTATCACCAGGAATAATATAAACAGTTCTAAAATTTGATCATTAAATTAATAAATAGGTATATTCTTAATGCATTATGATTGATGCAACAAATTTTCTTAAGTACAAAATTTCAGGAAAATACAGCGATTTAGGAATGGGTTATCGATATTAATATAGGTCTGTAACTATCGATACCATCAAAATATTGGTTTTTATTCGACATTTTCATCGAATTATAAACATTGTTGAAATTTTTTTTAAAACTATTTATTCAAGATATTTACAACTATATTACAATGTAAATACATCAAGCAAATGTGTACACAAGAAATATAATCACTTGAAAACGCTTGTTGAGAAACTACCCACAGGTAGCACTCTAATAATATGTCTTCATAAGGAGACCACGAGGCCATCATCTTCCGAGACGCCACGGAGGGTTATCAGGAATGGAAGAGGAAGCAAGGCAAGAAACGAGAGGATCCGGATGGTTATAAAGTTTATTATGGTATCTGGATTGGGTCAAATCGGAAAAATATGGAACATTAAGGTCATTATGGATTATTTTATTTGTGACAAAGTAAGGAGCATTGAGGATTTTACGAAGGATTTCGGATTGTAAGGATTGGATACGAGAGGAATTCGATGGTTTAGTGGAGCCCCTTAGCTCAACTCCGTAAGTCCAAATAGGTCTTAGTATAGTCATGTATATTAGTCTTTTGTAATTAATTGGAAGTTTAGAGCGTTTGTCTAGGAAGTATTGGAGTAACCGGAAACGTCGAGCAGTTTCTTGTCGTTTCAGTTTTGTATGAGGATTCCAAGTGAGGCGTTTGTCCAGGCGGAGTCCAAGATATCGTATTTGTTCAACAGGGATAAGTGGAGTGTTAAGGATACTGTAGGATAGGAAGTCATAGGTTTATGAAGGGTAAAGATGATTTGTTGGGATTTATTGGAATTTATTTTAATTCTCTAGTTTTGACACCATTCTTCAAGGTTTGTGATGTCTGATTGAAGAGTTTGGGATGCAATAGATGGATCGTTATTGACTGATAGGATACATGTGTCATCGACATACTGTTGAAATATAAATGTCAATATAAAGATTGATTCTCCAGCATTTAGTGGGCGCATGAAAAACAAATGTTATTTTCATTTTTAAATATATTAATTTAAATATAAATTATTCTATCCCCCTTACCAATTATGCCTTCCATCCCCCATAGATCGGATTCAGCCAATGTTAATTTTATATGTAGATTAGTTTGACAATTCGTGACTATGGTTTGAGAAGGATCTAACAAATTTGCGCTAATTTAGTTTACTGAGTCAATAGAGTTTCATGCGTGCTATTCAAGTCAACTTAGGGATGGCCATCGATATTCAATATTATCGAAGTATAAATTATTATATCCCAAAGATATAAATTATTTTTAAAAATATTTTTCAAAAAATAATGCTTTAAATTGCGGTGGTAATTCGATAACATACGTGGAACTAAAATTAAATGATTTTGAAACGTTCATCCACTAAATAACAAAGTATGGAACAATGGTTTGGATCAAATAAAGTATCAAATAAAAATGATATTTCTCTACTTCAAAATAAAAATTTCTCTTTATCGAAAAACCTACAAAATATATATTCGAAGACAAGATAAAATTAAAAATTAAATAAATTATATTTGAAAATTATTTAAATGGTTTCGGGAGAGTGAAATAAGTTATTGTTATAGTGATATGAGATCGATGAAAAAATAAACTGATTCTATTAATGGTTCTTGAAGATTAGATTATTTAACGTTATGCAAATGAACCCAAATAGGAAAAAGTTATTAATTTAAACAGTAATTACTACAAAATATGTGCTTTATTAAAAAGCCATTGCTTTATTATGGAAATGATATTTCAAGAGTAAAATATACAGGAAAATTATAAAAGAGGGTAAGTATAATGGAACTAATTAACCGTTATTAAGATGTAGGCATTAAGAAAAGGAAACAATTTCTAAGAAATAGCGACCAGAATAGATGGAACTGACGTTTGTAGGACTATATTCGTAGCTGTAAACATTTTATTGGATGAACTGTTATTTATAAAAGTTAGCAAGCTAAAATTATTTTACTTTATTGATCTTTTAAGCACCATTAGGTATATACTTTAAAATAAACACTCTATATTATTTTGAGTGATCTTTTGATATTTACATTTTTTTCTTATAGAGTGTGAAAAGATTTTCTTCAAAATAATTAGAGGACATTAAAGTGGAATTCATAAAGAGTCATATGACCAGGATATTTTATTTATTTATTTAAAACTTCAAAAGGTTTCTTTATATATTACGTCGTGAGTGCTCATAGAACTATTCTGCTCCATTTAACTTTTTTAATTGAATTTTTGTTCGACGAAGACAATTATAAATAGAAATATTTTAATTTTTAAAACATAAGCAAGACGTTATAAGTATCCAATGGCAACCATCACACCTAAGAGGTATTCAGCAAGAACTGCGAATTATCTCGACAATGTAACGTTTTTGTTTGTCTTATCATTCTCGATTCTTCAACAAGATGTTCATGCAGTGAATAAATTACTTTCCACAAGGAGGAAATGATAATATTATATAATAATAATCATAATCTTTTATAATGATAATACATATAATATTATATAATAATTTGAAGCGGAGTGTTACGAAGAACTCCTTAACTAATTATTTCCTGCAAAAGCAAAATCCTACAATTGGCAATGGTACCGGACGATGTTGTGCGTTACTGTAATTTATATGATATGAGAGAAAGGCAAAGTCCATTTACAATGAAACTTTCAAGATAATGAGTGCCAAACAGGAGAGGAGATTGACAGCTAAGACATGAGGGTTATCCCAAAAATAAGAGGAAGAACAAGAAGGAACTGTATCCGTAATGAGAGAATGAAGATCTTTCAATGAAAGAGAAGCTAGCGACTGACCAACTGGTTCTGCCATACCATCAGGATGGAGGAACACCAAGTTTCGCTGAAGACTATGCTCTGGCAGTAAAAAACCTCGAAGCCGACGTACCTGGAATGCGTCGACTCTTGCCATAAAAGTAAAGAAAAAAGTCTGCCAGGGAACCTGGTAAGAAACAATGAGTTCTGGTTGGACGCTCCCCTAGAGTGATAGTTAATTATTTGAAATAAACCAAATTAAAGGTACTTTAGAGTAAGACATTTTGAAAATCCGACATATAAGCCTTCTTAGGGAGGGTAAGTGTGGACGAAAACTAGCTTATAATGAAGAACATGAAGTAGTTATTGCTGTTTTAGAGAAAATCAAATATTCTTTCGACTTTTATTTTTTGAGCTAGGATGTTCAAATACACACTGAGATCATTTTATGGGACTTAGGGGACCTTAAATTATCTTTTTCTGTTCGAAACTCAGATTCAAAAGTTTTCATGATCACAACACTCTTCCTTAATATATATTACATTAGTGTTGCCCAAAAGCGAGACCGAGAGGAGTCTTGGTCTTGCAAACTAAGTCTGGGTCATGGTCTTGGTCTTGCGAAAGAGTCTTGCAGTTACTTATCAGCTTATTACTATAGAGATATTACTGTAATTTTTTAGATAGGAGAAACCTAACTAAGCCCGAATGAAAAATTAGGGTTTTTTTTTATTTTAATGAAATTTACTACTGTATTAAATTAAAAATACAACAAGTACATGTGACAATGGTACATGGTACATGACATGTAAAACATGAAGAGAAACTACCCATTGGTAGAACTCAATAGAGGAGTTAAATGCAAAAGTATATTGGTTATACCAATTCTTTACTTATAGTAACTAAGATTGTCAAGTATTAGTAACTACTTTGCATACATTTTTATTCAAATATTGATTTTTTTTACGAGTCCTGGTCTTGGTTTTGGAACAGTTAGGAGGTCTTGCGAAGTGCAAGACCAAGACCGATTTTGGGCAACACTATATTACATACACAGCTACGTTGAAGTAAAAAGCTTTTCACCCGCCTAACTTCAAGCTACCTGGAAGTTTATTGATGTACTCCGCTTACAAATTCTTTGAAGATCTTCAATCTTTTTTCATAGTTTCCACTCGAGAAGTTTTCAATATTTCCAAAGTAAAATTAATACCGCTTTCGAATGGTTGTGGACTAATTCAGAACGTAATGTTGTGGCAGGTGATTGAGTTGTAAAATTCTCAGACATAGGATTGAAAGGAATGGAACAGAAATAGCGACTGGAAAGACGGGACAACACAAGGTCTCCTACCTCGCCCGGTCGATATGGAATATGCATCAGCTGCTACAAATACACTTGCACCGCAGTTACTCTCCGCCGATGCAGTCCGCAAAGTTCAAAACTCTTCTCTGGCTGAACTTATTTGAATATTTGAAATTATCGATGAATATTTTTTTGGATTGCGTATTTGCTATGCTCGTGGTTACAAAAGAAATCACGAAATGAAGTACTTTCCAGGAAATTATGTATGCACATATCCAACATGCATATTTTTATAGATATGTTTCTACTCGTAGAAAGGATAGAACACAAGACACGGTAATAAATCAATTCAACCATCGATCAGAACGAAACTAATTTAAGGAAGAATGTAAGAATATGAGTGAGGTTTACAAATTACATAGAAAGAAGGCCAGTGCATACTTAAAATTTATTGACTCCTAAGTCTTGAATACCCTTGAACAATAAGTAGCTCAAAAAGCTGAGTAATATGATGATACTACTTTAAAGTTCAGGAGATATCAATAGATAGAGATTGAAATAGATACGGCAATGGAATTCAATTAAATTGATAATAGACAATTCTTAAACTATTCGCCAGATTTCCTCTAGATTAGTGGTTAGAATTAGATCTAATTGATATTTACTTAATCATTTGTTTCTCAATTCCTAATTTATCTCCAACTTTATGCCTAATCAAACGTGTGGTTTTTGAGATATGGGCGTATTGAAGAAAATATGTTTGCACATATTTAAGATAAAGCAGAGAATGGAATTCGACAAAGTTGAAACGGCATCATTTATGTACTAATGCCATCCTTTCTTCCAACTTTGAGCCAAATTGAACGATTCGTTTCTGAAATATTGGCATATCTAATAAAATACATTTGTGCATGCTTAGCGGGAATACAGGATAGAATTTATGAAAATGATTCGGGTCAATCTATACTCAAACCTGCACAATCTCTGAAATTTTCATGAAAATCGGATAAAAGGTAGTAGTAGCCTATAATGGAGCACTGTGGATTAGAATCACTCCTAAGTATTAATTGCTCAGCGACCATGCGATCTTGACACTCCCCACACTAGATGGAAAGCGGTCGCAATCTCTAGGTAGCCTTTAGGTGTTAGCACAAAGTATCAGAAACTCACTTGCCAGACTAGATTCTCCACCTGTACTAGTTTTACTAACGCTACATTACATAGTAAAGAAGCACTGTGTCTAAACTAACGGTTATGAAAGAAAGTCGTTTTGCTAGGATCATGGTGAACAGTTAGGTTCTCCATCAATTCATGGAACCTATTTTATTGCTGGTTATCAACTGTTATTATTCTAAAATGCAGGTAAAGAAAAAAAAAACCCTTCAACAGACTTTTTAATCTGTGCATGCATTTTAGAGACATAAGGCTGTATTGGTTGGACTTTTTCAAATCAAAATTTAACATTGAATTTCTGTCTCTTTGAGAGTTTTACTTCTGATACATCTATACCAGCATACAATACTCTCGTATTCGATGTCTTTCTTATTTGCATAATTAATACAATATTATCATTAAAGTCTATTCACTATTGAATAGAAAATTTCAATTTTTAATCGATAACAAACTACTAATCTATAAGACAATCCTGAAACCTATGTGGGCCTACGGACTCGAACTGTGGGGGACAGCAAAGCTTTCTAACATCAAACGCATTCAATCCTTCCAGTCTAAAGTCCTCCGAACAATGATCCCTTCTACAATACATCACGATGATCCCTTCTACGGAACTAATAAAACCCCGAACGAACTTAATATCCCATTTGTTCTTGACCTAATCCTAGACAAATTGTCCGAATTTCACCAGAACCTCACTCATGATATAAATCCTGTAGCATAATCCCTATCTAGCTCCAGCCATCCCTACAATCCTCCCCGAAGGTTAAAACGTCAGTGGACACCTCTAATAAGTACATATTTATTAGAGTTCCGGCAATGGCTAGATTCTCCACTCAAGTCCTTAACGTCTGTTGCTCTATTGCCCTCCATCAGTCTCCACTGCTTTTCAATACCAGTGACGCGACTGGAAGAGAAGCACTGGGATCTCCAGGAGTCCTGATTTGGCTTCCACACTTGGGAGACTGAGTATGACTCATAATCTCCTGGGTGAATTTAAATATTGTAAATAGGTGTGAGTGTGTTTTATTTATTTTAATTTCATTCAGTTTCTATCTATTATTTTATTTTCTGTACATACATATTATTTTTTTATTTTATTTGCTTTACGTACATTTTTATTTTTAAATTTTTTTTTATTTTAGTTATTTATGTTTATTTTCATTTTGTACATACATATTATATGAATGAATACCCTAATACTAATGCCCTTTTATGTGGCAGATTGTATTAATATTCAAAAAGAGTCTATTCAACGCATACATTGGTCAAACTTCATTATGATTGTGTTAAAGCAACAGTTTACTTAATAAGTAATTAGCTTAATACACAGGAAAATATTAGTTTAATAGTCAAGTAATAACGACGTGTTACTTTATTGTTCGTCATTTCAAAAACGGTTCATTTAAGGACTTATGATGGTCTTGAAATACGCTTCAAAAATTTTAATAGCCTGATTGTGCTGTCTCGATTTGCCTTTTTACCATCGTCAGAGTATTGAAACCATTCATATTTTTCAGTTAATTTTACTGAATTTGAAATAAGATTTCTAGAATTGAAATTGAGATTCTTCATTTCCAGGAAAACACCTTTAAAACTTAATTTTCCAAAATGCACCACACCTGATAGCAGAAAAAGAGACACACTACCGATTATACATAGGTGTAGTAAATTTTATTTTAAATAATTTTCAGATAAAACAAATAAATTATGCAAAAAGCATGATGTTTTAAAATAAGTAGAATCAAAGCATGTTTACAGAGATTGTTTACAAATCTTTGGTGTAGTGGTGAAAAGAATCATCTGAAACTTCAATTCGTTTAGGAGAGGAACTGATATCAAAAACCGATCAGGTCACATCAGGAATAGATGCCTTTACGACTTCAAAATTAGACTGTTATTTGTAAAACACCTGTTTTAAAATTCACCATCTGATTGTTACTGTTTACAAAGCTGTCTTTATATTCAGAATTTCAGTAACTTCTCTTGTATTTTCGGAATTATGGGTTAGTTATATGTTTTTTCAATATTTTTTTTATCTTTAAAGAAATGTAATCATATCTCAATGACTAAGACGAAATGCCTTTGTAGGGAATGATTAATTTTAATTTGTAGGAGATAAAATTTAAATTAAGTTACAGATAAGAACCTTTGCTTATCTTCTATCATTTATGAATATATTTTTAATATCTATCTGAAAATAATAAATGCACACAGTTTAGATCTGTATGTACTGAGATACATATCAGTTGCAATATTATACATGCAGCTACTTTATATATATTGGTGCAAACATGTAAAAACCAAAATAGTAACACGGATCCCATCTAGGGATTTTTTTTAAATTATTTATTAAACATCCAATGATTTTAATAATTGAATGAATAAATACTCAAATTCAAGAAAATGTACATTATTCATCAATTATTTTAGTAATGAAACCAACGTCATCCTGCCCTATAATTTACTACTACACTATTCATAGAAAAAAAAAATTAAAATATGTACTATTGGAGACAATTGAATTTTCAAATTATGAAAAACATTTTCTTATATTACTCAATACAGAATTATATGCCATAGAAAACATTTAAAGTGCTGTAAAATTAAACCACTCTCAGAACCTTTGTCATATAGGAAAGATTGTACAGCAATTTTTAATCCATTATTTTCGTTTTTTTTTCTTTTTATGAGTTTTTTACAGCTGTGATATTCATAAACGAAATGATATTCATAAACACCTATTTAAAATTCACATTCTTTTAAGCCTCTACAACTGTGCCAAATTTCAAAAAAATCTGAGATAGTGAGGTTCAGGTCTTGACATGGAATGACACTCAACCTGATTTTCAAAATTTCAGTTGTTTAAAATAACACAGTTTCATAATTAACATCAAACCTTCTAATGCTATAAGTGTGTTACATAGGCCGTGGCTCCAGAGCTATTACCTTTAAACGCTTAAATATGTAGCAAATTTTAGGTTTGTTTTGTCTTTGTTTCTTGGGGTTTCAAGGTGTAAAACACCAGGGTCATCAGCGCCTGCACATTAATTTTATTTATCTCTGGTTTAAATTTTCAAGATATTTTAATTTTTTTTTAACAAATCATTTGATTCTAAGATACCTAACACTAATTTTGTTGTGTACTCGTCATCCCTGAAAATGTTTGCTATTGGAGGTGTAAGTATTTAGATATGAACTATTTAGACTCGATACGTAAAATGGACACTCCTGTAAAATGTGGCCGATTGTAAGTGTATTATTTGATAAATTGCTTTGTGCGATTCATCTTCGGGATCCCAAGGGACGCCTCTGTTTCCCGTTTTTATGTAGAGTTGAAGTGGCTTTATCCTTCCTACCAGTAGTAAGTATTTCCTAGCATCCTTCCTCTTTCAAGTCATTCAATCCCATCGTCCTTTATACATTTCCGAGCTCCTTCAATTCAAATCCTCCGTTCGTTCCCGCGATACTCGTTCCCGGTCTTCTGATTTATACATAAGAGCCCAGCGAACCGCTGCTTTCAACAGATCTCTCATTACCCGATCCTCATCTTTATGGAACTCCATCCCTTCCCACATCCGTCAATCTAATACTTTCCTACCTTTAAATCCCGGCTGTTAAATTATTTCTTATCCATTCAGTCCCCATAAAATCATAAAATTGTAAATAGATACCACTGAAAATATGTATATAAATTATTAGATTGTTCTTTATTATTTTTACTTTATTTTTAAATTTTTATTATTAACTTATTTAAGCTAGAAAGTAACATATAATTTTTAATATGACTATTTTATTACTCAACATTTCTTCTTATGTAACTCTGAGGCTCCTTATCCCACATTACTGTCCTTATGTATTTATACATGGGGACAGTCTAAAGGTACTTCCCAGAATAAATAAAGTATTATTATTATTATTACTATTATTATTACACCAAGTTGAAGTGGCTCTATCCGCCCAACCGCCGTCTGTACTTCCTTGCTACCTTTCTATACCACGTCATCAGAACTCAGCGGCCTTCCTATATTTTTCACAGCCTACAATTCAAATATTCCATTCAATCCCGTCCATTCCATTATTTTTTTTTAATTTTGACTATTAAAGCATAAATAGAATAAATAAAGCATTATTATTATTATTATTATTATTATTATTGCAGTGTTAGCGGTGGCTGTTTACTAATAAGATGTGAATGAGTAAGATTGGTGTGGCATATTCTCAGTGTAATTAAGACAACTTCTTCTCTGCGGATATAACGATTTGATAATAACCATGACCATATATATATATATATATATATATATATATATATATATATATAAAACCATGATCATATATTGAAATAACCATGACCATGGCTTTATTGTTTTTTTAATATCATTTAATATGCTTTGCGGACTCTCATTCCAAATAAATTGCCAGTGGACGCATCAGCTATGAGTAATTTCATTTTTGGAGAGGAGGGAGGACTTATATCTTGCGGTGTTAGAATGGCAGTTTTAATTGGCTTGGATTTTAGGTTTGTTCTTAAGATCAGTAGAGTTTGCATCACTAGATACTAATTAGTGGTTAGTAATTTTTATTATGAAATATTACAACTTTGGATTTTTTTTATGAATTGGGCAGGGGCGCCCTATAGATGTTGGCCTCATGGATTCGTTATACTATCCAGTGCTATCCTTAAGGACCCCTGGAGTCCTGGCAAGATCTATATATTGCTATTCCTGGAGAGAAGGAGCGTGGACAGAGTTGAGACGGTTGCTAGATAAACACACCTGGTTGCTAGGCGGCGAGGTGGTGGGGCCGACTCTATTTTTATCTAAACTAGCAGCTTTGGAACAGTCCACTCGTTCAGTCCGGCCGAGCAGCCCCTGCCTCACACAGGTGACATCTTCTCCCAGTTTGTTCTCTCATTCACGGCTGTAACCAAACTAATACTCGCTATTGCCTGGTGTGCAGTCTGTGACGTAGTGTTTAGTGCCTGGTGGTGTTTGAGTGATCGCCGATAGGATTCTTGTCACTTTGAGCTGCAAAGTGTTTCATGTTTTCATTAGCTGGTATTCGTTTCCGTGATGTAGGTATCGATAAAACAGGAACATTTTATAGAATTAAATTAATGTTTATTATTTTTATATATATATATATATATTTTTTTTTTAGTTCTGATTATACAATAGAAACAGAAAAAAAATTAACTCCTGTTTAATTAACATCATTAACCATTGACATTTTTTTTCGTTTGTTTTTGTTTTTTATACCATATGTAATTTAATTCTGATATAAGTTATATTGTCTATTAGAAGCAATAGATCTTAATATAATATTAATTGTTTTTAAATCTTAACTTCAATCAAAATCAAAAATCAACTGCCCTAATAGAAATTAGAAATGTCTAATACTATTTTTACTTTTATATTAATAGGTTACTTATTAAATATATGAATCAAATATATGAATTGAGTGCTTTTAAATATTGCCTTATCAGCATATAAAAACGATAATAATTAAATCATGAGTCATAAGTGAAATAATAAATCATAAGTGAAAATAACCATGATTTATATATTTTTTTTTATGTGTGCCTGACTTAGCATTGCCAGTTAGCATTAAAATAAGATATTATGCCAGTTCAAAAAAATTAAAATATCATTTTAGATGTATGTAATGCATTAAGTTACAATTTTTTAAATACGAACTTTAAAATATTAGATATTTTATTTACAATAAAGATATTTCGCTGCTATTCGTTTCTTTATACAGAGAGAAGAAATTAAATTAGAGGTGCCAAGTTGAGCTATGACCCTTCCGATTGTTCTAAACGCAACTCATGACGACAACGATGTCGGTGAGGGTTGTACGCATCCTTTGGCAATCCAATCAAATTTCATTGGCAAGACAAATCGTTTCTGCCTACGCTGCCTAACCGGTTATATCTGACAAGTTTTTACTGATAAGAAATTCAATATTTTCAAGTAACAAAGACGATCTTTAAAGTTTGGTCTATTCGAATTCTGCACTATAGAGTTGGATAATTTGATTCTTGAAAACAAAGTAGAAAGTAGATAGTAGTAGTGTTGTCGTGCGAATTAATCTATAACAGTAAGAAAACACCTGGTTTTGATTTAAATGATAATAATAAACGCGTATATTTTGCGGTTCTCAGAAGCGATAATTAAAAAAAAATAAATTATCAAAAGAATTTCGATCTTTAAATAATTAACTTTAAAAAAAGCCATTGAAAAAATTGAGAGGTTTCAAAACTCAAATGGTTTCAAAACTTGAAGTGTCAAGACTAGATATATTAGCTTCTAAAAATTTTGATGAGCATATCAAGACCCGAAGATCGTATTTATATATTTTTTAAATGTTATTCCGAACTAAAAATTTATAGCAAAGGTAACCAATGATTCTTTGGACACTTTGAGTAATATAGAACAAAACATTTTGATATTTTTCGTAAATTAAAATATATTCAAGTATGGCTTTTATACCCTCAGTAACAAGTACTATAGAGAACTATAAACCAAGGCTCTTCTTCATCAAACAAATAGCTTTTGATCTAGTCCAATATTGGATTAATGTAAGTTCGGAACTTTTATTTACGACACTACATAAAACATACATTTTATGCTAGATTAGGGCCGGAAAATATTTAATTATTGAGATCGCTTAACAGGACTGAAGTCATTAGAGTATATTACAATTTTTTTTTTTTTTAATCCATTAACATACACGTATACTTCGTTCCCCCTTTCAAAAAAGTATGATAAAATTGACTTCAGACAAATTCAGAACGATAGTTCGATACACTTTATTTTGTGTTTTATCGAGCTTAATAATAGTTTTAAAAGTTTCCATTTTCTTAGGAAATTGCATTTAGATGCCAACTCGCACAATCCATGATAATTTTTTAACGGTACTTGCTGACATGGACGTCACATCGGTTCAACCATAGAAAATTCCCGAACCGAATTTATTACTTCATGTCTAAACGTAAAACGTAAGTGGAAATATGCGATTCTGAGGAAAGATATTTTTTAACCTCCTACACGAATACTTTAGTGAGGTAACAAAATGTTTGTTTTCAAAAATTATTAGTCGTATATTTTTCTTTACTCTCCATTACCATTTTATTCATTTTACTAAAATCATTAGCTTTCTAACGATACATTAAACACATTTAATACAAACATGTTAGAATGAAATGTTATTGTAATCGTTTTACTGAATAAATCGTCCATATTTAGTTTTCATGTATTTTTTTTTTTAATGATTGAAAGTAATTTTCGTACTTCAAGGAGTAATAATAATCAGTCAATTAAGGCCTTGAAAGTTTAAACAGCTCGGAAAGTTTAAAATGCCTACAAGTAATGGAATTCCATCACAAATTTATAATGTCCAGTTTTACGGATGAGTCGAAACTCCATTGATAAAATTTAGCTGTGAAGATTCTTCTACGGAATACGGCACTGGAAGTTTGCATTAAACAGTGATGATTGGCAAAATATAATTTTTAGTGATTACTTCTTAAGCCCTTTGATATTTATATATTTCCTTATGAAATAACAGAAGTTCCTAAACTAGCCAACCTTCGCACAATTAGCATGTAGTTTTAATTGTGTGATATTATTTCTCATCAATCTTTTTTTTACAGTTTTTCTCTTTGCAAATGTAATAAAATAAAAAAAAACTGTACCACTACAATCCACGAAGGATACAAACCTCTTGGATTCAGTACTATTTAGTTAAGTACTGTTACATGGCCAACGGTTGTGCAGGGAGGAGATCGGGCCAGGATCACGCTCATCCGCCAGGTTTTCCTCCTTAATTAATTATTTTAATTAAGAGTACCCACTTTGTAGATTCTGGGTGGCTGGGTGTGGCCCAGAAGGGTCTCACTAGCCTAGGGTCGCCTCACGGCCAATGAAACAGAATAAATAATTTTTCTGCCATTAGCCGGGATTCGAACCTGGTACCTTGAGCGTTGGATGATTAGTGCCATACCACTGAGCTATCCCGCTCCTTAAAAAAAAATGTAATCTGTTTACTCAAAGCATGAAATTTAAAAAAAAATATTCAGTTTCCTTTTATCGTATTGTCCTCGATGACCGCTTCTCTTCGGGTTCAGGCAACTTGTGTGTCTAGTTTATATATTCTACAACCTGTTCTACTCTGTCCAGCCATTTCTTCCGGGGCAGTCCATTTTCTCGAGTCCTGTAAAACAAAATCCTTTATAGCACTTTGATAGGCCATCTGTCATTCCTTTGAGTCTTGTGTCCAACAGATCCTATTCCTGTTTTATCTCTAGGTCGAAGGTCATCCCATCTTTTGTCTTCGAAATCCGGTATTTATATGCCTCTTGTTTAGCTTCCTGTGGAATTCTGTCACCGTTACTGTTTTGTTACATTATGGCTACTACGTGTTGTATCCCTAGGTCAGATTCTGTGTTCCAAGACAGCTTCCTCTACCGATGTCATTTCCAGACTATTGTTCTTCGTTTCATTTATTTTCGATATCACCAGGTCCTAGATGACACTTCTTGGCATTACTTAAAATATCTTTTTGACAGTCTAGTTCAACAAAGAAAAGTCGTACGGAACTGGTATAGCGTATTTAAGATAGATATTCTCGGGATGTTACAGCAAATTTTTCCTTAAAATTGGCTAACTGGAAATGCCACTTGATATAATCGATTTTACACATTTTTAATATTTTCTAAAAACTTTCTCCAAAGATTTTGATTAAACTCAGTACATCATTGTACAATTAAAAGTTTTTAAATATAATTTAGGTCATTATTTAATAATATAATATAATTACGTAATATCATTTAATAACATCATTGATGGCGCTTTACGCGGCTTAAATTCTCAAAATGTCTTCCTTTAAAATACCATTAATTTGGTCTATTTTAAATAATTAACTGTCTTCCACTGTTAGTAGTAGTACTAAAAGGCTCAATATAAAAAACTAAGATGTGCGGTTTAGACCACACGATGGAAGTTTAAATATAATAATATGAAATATAAATTATAAAAAATACATCATTATAAAAGGGATGAAATCCTGATCATTTCCTTCGCTTACAGAATTCAGGTCCGATTTTTAGTTTCTAAAATATTTTAATCCATATCTTCCATGAAACTCATTATCATTTGGTTTTCGACTATATTTTTTTTCCTTTTTACCTTCAAAATTTTTAATTATAGCCTATTATAGAGGATGAAATGATGAACAATTTTCTCCCTTACAGTATGCCGCCCCGATTTTTAGTTATATAGTCGGTTAATTTCGAAAAACCATTAAGTAATGTTTTAGAAAATTAAATTATTGAATAATTTGATGTATTTACCCATATTATATCAAGGTAATACTCCACAATATTAATACAATTCATAATCATTTCTAGGTTATATGTTCGAATCTCTCAAGGCATAGACTGAGGTTATGTGGTTTACAAAAACAGATATTGAAATACGATTTTGAATACGATATAACACGATACGGTATTGAAATATGATTGAGTGATTTTGTTACTCACAATTATAAACATATTGATTTACGGTGTTTTTATTGTCTATCCTTGATATAATAAGAAATTCATAGGGGTTGTGTTATTTTCACGGTATTAATGAGCTGTAAGGTTTAAGGTTTAGCTCTGTCAAAAATATAGTTCATAAACTTTGCCATAGCCTAATTTTGCTAGAAAATATTTCTATTCAAAATAAAGCGGTGAGTGATAGTTGTGTAATGAGTGCACTATATTTTCGATTCTTATTTCTTAATAACTGTTAACTTTACTCAAATCAATTCAACTTTTAGCATTTATAAACTTTTAGAAATAACATCATCGATTCGTGATTATATGCCTCTTGTATATAATCAGTTAGTAACCGTGTATACGGTGGTCTGTCTGAAAGCTATGA